AAGTACTTACTTGGATAAGGTGCTGAAGAGGTTCATATGCAAGATTCCAAGAAAGGAGAATTACCAATCCAGAGTAATGCCAAGCTGAGTAAAACTCAGAGTCCGAGTACAGAGGCTGAGATAGCTGAAATGAGTCATATACCATATGCTTTCCGCTGTGGGCTCGATCATGTATGCTATGACTTGTACTCGCCCTGATGTGGCCTTTGCTTTGAGCATGGTCAGTAGATATCAAGGGAACCCTGGCAAGGCACTGGACAGCGGTAAAGAACATTCTCAAGTATCTGCGGAGGACTAAGGATTGGGTCCTTACCCTCGGAGGCAGTGATGACTTGAGAGTGGAAGGATATAGCGATGCTAGCTTCCAGACTGATAGGGATAATTTCCGCTCTCAGTCAGGCTGGGTCTTTATCCTAAATGGAGGGGCAATTACTTGGAAAAGTTCCAAGCAGGAGACAGTAGCTGATTCTACTTGTGAATCAGAGTACATAGCAGCAAGTGAAGCAGCTAAGGAGGCGATATGGCTAAAGAACTTCATCGGAGACCTTGGAGTTGTACCAGCTATAAAAGAGCCAATGGAAATTTTTTCTGTGACAGCGAAAGTGCGGTTGCTTTGGCTAAGGAACCGAGAGATCACGGGAGATCTAGGCACATTGACAGAAAATACCATTTCATCAGACATCGAATAGAAGAAGGACTCCTCGTGGCTAAGAGGGTATCATCAGATGAGAACCCGGAAGATCCCCTCACGAAGGGACTGAGCAAGGTTAAGCATTTACAGCATGCGAGGCGCATTGGGCTGAAGGATGATATTAGTTTCAATAATTAGATTCCTGAAACTTGTAAAATGTAATTGACATTTGATGATAAATAAAAGTTGTTATTTATTTATGAGTAGGTGTTACTATCTTGTGTTGATTGTTTACTATGTTTCAATTTTGCATGTTTTTACTTCCAGAATAATTATGTTATTATTCAAACCATCCACAGTCAGTCAAACTTTGGAGTAAGTATTGATTTAAGACTGTCATGAATTTGGCTTGTATGATTTGTCTAAAAGTGCTTTGGACAATGCAATGGTTGCTACAACTTCATGAGTACTCATAAGGGCTGAGTATTGGATCCAACCCACGCTCACTTGCATCACTTCATGGAATTTATCTCGAGTGATCGTGAGACGGTAATATCATATAAATCTTCAAACCTAGAGATATGAGTTGTTGACTATGAGTTGGTTATTCATTGATTGTACGAAAACGCATTGGTAACTCGATGTTATAAAACGTGCCTTTGTGAATAATTCAACAAGTAGTTAGTACAAGCATATCAGTCGAAGTTTATATCTGTTCCTTCTAGAAATAGAAGCGATATCTGGGCCCCTCGATGATTTGGTTTTGACCTATGTACCGGGCCCGGTCAGAACCTAATTGATGTGTTCAATTTAGTTCTATGTCGAAACAAATCAGAGATCGAGAAACAAATGCTGGACAATAAGTAAGACATATTTCCATGTGTTTGTCCGGCTGATATCATGAGAACAGAGGATTATATGATCACTTATCTTAAATGGCGTATCATCATCATCTCAGTTCCGAGAGACTTTGAAAGAGCTACGATTGCTAGTCGGATTTTGAAGTCATATTTGCAAATATAGTTATTAGACTTATCCAAGTGGGAGACTGTTGGATATAGTGTCTAAGTCCATAACTTTATTTGGTATGTACTTGACCCGACCCGGCATGGTCCATTTGGGTTGCATGGCATTGCAATACTTGGATAGACTAAATGAGAGAATAAGGCACTTATGATTATTAATATATTATAAGTTCTAATATATTAATAATAGTATTATTTAATTATAGTATTGATCAAGTATTAATCTAGGATTAATTTGGTGGTCAAAGTGAGACTAATTAAATATATAGGGTTGATTATGACAATCATCAATTCTTTTATGGTGGATTAATGATCCATGGTTTATGGGTTATGGATGTAACCAAATGGAGCTCCATGGATAGTCCATGGGAGTTACAAATCCATGGGTCATGGGAAATCAAGAGTCATGACAATTAAGGGCATTCATGTGTAAACCCTAATTGTGACAACACTATAAAAGGAACCCTATGGCTAGCAAAAAGTGGACCTAGTGGACATAGTGTTACTAGAGAGGGCATAACCAATTTTGAGTGCTAGAAGTATTCTCTCAAGTTATTCCAAGTCTTGTGGTGTTGTGTGAAGCATTTGAGGCACAACATTTGGGGTGCTAGGCTCACAAAGTCTTGAAGGAATCCAAGCAACAACAAGGTATGTATTTCTACTAGTTTTATGTTTTATGTAATCCCCATGCCATGCTAGTTAGGAAATAACCTTGAAAAAGAAATTTGCATGTATATAGAGAAAACATAGATTCAAGGTTATTAGGGTTGCATGTACACTTAGGAAGTGTTAGAATGCTCAAAAACCCATCAAAGCATACATCAAGATCCAATCTTTACTTGCACACAACTTGGTGCATCATACATATCATTTAGGTAGCTCATAGAGCTTCCAAAGTCCAATGCCTCTGACATGTTTTTGGAACGAAAACTAATGAATTGGTGAACAAGTATGCATGACTCTTCTTTGATCCACTATGGTGTACTTCAATCTTTTCAAATGCTTATTGCTCACGTGTAAAGAACAATTTACTGATATGTACTTATTGTTGTCCACTTTGATGTAACCATGTTTCACTTGATCAATAACAACAGTGTTATCTTCATATATAACCATGTGTCATCAGGATTATAAGCTAAATCACATGTACTTGGAATATGGCTAATTGAAGCTTGAATCCGTACACACTCTCTATTCTCCTCATAGAGCACAAGTAGTTCAGATTGATTAGTCAAAATAGAAACTAGAGTCTGTTTACAAGACCTCCATGATATCGATGTGTTCCCGATGGTAAAGACATAACCATATTAGGAAAGTCCCTTATTAGGGTCTGATAAGTAACCTACATAGGCATAGCCAACAAGGGTCACATTATTTCGAGTATCATTCGTGGTAGATCCACTCAATGAAACGTAGGGATAGAATAAACTCATATCTATAGTACCTTTAAGGTAACAAAATATGTCTTTAGTACCGTTTCAGTGGTTGCATGTTAGCTTAGTGTTGTGTCGAGAAATACAATTCATAACAAACAAGATGTATGGTATAGTACATTGGGCTAAGTATAATAATGCACCTATTGCACCAGAATATGAACACTTTTGGCTCAATATCTCTCCATCATCCTCCTTTACACAAAATGGGTCCTTTTTAATATCTATAAAACAAACAATCATGTGAGTAGATGAAAATTTTGTATCATGATGACTAAATCATCTCAACACCTTCTAGGTGTAATTTTCTTGATAGAGTACAATCTCATCTTTATTTTGCTCTATCTGCATGCCTATGCAATACCTTATCTTCCCAAGATCTTTCATCTCGAATTCCTTCTTCAGCATTTTAGCCGGTTCAAATTATTCTTTCGAGGTTCTTATGAGATTCATATCATCTACAAAGACTATGATAATTACATATCCTGAAGTTGATTTCTTTGACAAATAGGCATATCTCATTATTCAAATATCTCATTCTGATCAAGTACTCACTTAGACTTAGATTGTTGTACCACATTTATCCGGATTGTTTAATCCATAAAGTGTCCATCTAAGTCTTAAGTCCATCAGGGACTTTCATGTATATCCATGTGTCCAAATCCCCATAAATATAGGAGAATACGTCTCCTCGTAATCAATTACATAGAATTGAGAGAAGTCTTTCTCCATGAGGCAAACTTTGTATCTTACAATCTCATTATTCTCATTACGCTTCCTTACGAAAACCCATTTATTACCAATTGGTGTAACATTGGGTGGTGTTGGAGCAACAGGTCCAAACACTCTTCTTTTTGCTAAGGAATCCAATTCATATTGGATTGCTTGTTTCCATTGAGGTCATTTTTCTTAGTTTTGCAACAACTCATATACACTAAAACTTGTAAAACATTAAACAACAACTAAGTACGATATTTTCATTTAACATAGAGAAATGAGAATCAAGTGCTACCCATGCAATCTTCATTTCCCAGGTGTCGCCTTCGAAATCCTTTTTTCGCAGTGACAAAAATAACTATAAATCAATAACCTATAATATGATGATTAGCCACAACATTACGACTAAGAATAAAAAACCTTAAAGTAAAATCTATCAAAACTTCAAATACCTTAAAATATGTTCTTTGAAATGAGATCGATGTTTCAGATCAACTTTGAAAGAATTTTCAGGTTCCATTTTTTGCAAATGAATTATACATACGATAAATAATGTTTTTATACATCTAGATGTGCGAGACCCACGACTTTCACTAAATTGGCAAAATACCTGCGAAAATCACCAAAACGCCTTCATTTTGGTGATTTCGTATGTACTATGCTAATTTCACAGATGATCATCTGTAAAATTGATGTTTATCTCTGGAAACGACGTAATTGTTGCTTAAAGCTTGAAAAATACTTGAAGAATTTAGTTGTTTTTGTGTTTTTCTCAAAAAATTTATATTTAATTGTGTCTGAAGCAATTGGCTACTTGTGTTTATTATTATTACTATTAATATTAGCAATACGGGGAAAGTGGCCTCAGCAGGATCTGAGCTGGCTCGGCAAACACTTCCCCCCAAACTCGGCATGTCGAACTTTTCTCCTTTTCTCTCTTTTTCTCTCTAATAAAATAAAATAAAATAAAATAAAAAATTTCATCCCTGATGAAACTTGGTGAGCTCAACACCGCTCATCCAGTCTTATTATTAAACTAAACAAGACTTGATGGTACTTCGACAAGCCACTTTTACTTTTGTCTCTTTCATATTTTTTAGCATTTGGCCCCTTTTTAAATATAAACAAACAGATATTTTTATGTGTATCCAAAGTCAGTGCTCCCATCTAGGCATCTACAGTCGAGCACTAACAAATAAAACACATATTTCAATATATTTCTCCTTAAATGATCCAACCAACAGTTCAAATCAGAGATTTCACAGTAACATACATAAAACAACTACAGCACATAAATACATACCAAAAATAATAAAAATACTTCCAACAATTTTAATCCAAAAGAAGTGGAGACCCTTCTTTAATAAGAACAAACACACTCCCACCATCTCCCCTTGAGACCCTAAGTTCTTCATCAAGATAAGTTGTTAATAACCACGACTCCGCATTCGTTTGGGAGATTGAAAATTTCAATGGTGGTTGACTCGAAATGGTTTTTGCTACATTTGAAGCTGTGTCTTGAACTGATGTCAATAATCCTTTAAAGGGCGACAGATCGAGTTTTTGTCCTAAAAACTCAACGTTTTCGGGTAACTCAATGGAATCGGTTAACTGTGGTGTCCCGATGATACCTTCGTCGAACTTTATCTGTGTATGGACAATAAATAGCAATGTACTTTCATTTATCTATGTATCGTAGCATCGTGTACTTTTGTTTCTTTTTATTATAGCATTGTATTTTTTTATTGTTAAACGTTATATTTGAAAAATCTACTTGGTTATAGTAGTAAAAATCATTTTGTGTTTGGATGAAATTGCTATTATCGGGTGGATTTTTTCAACGTACGTTGTTATTTCATTAATATAATTCGGTAAAATTTTCAAAGTACGATGTTTGTTACGCTGTTGCGAGACAACAGTTGTACTGTGTTTGGCGTGCATCAGACAGGACGGGGATAGATGTCAACGAGACAAAAATTATAAATTTTTGTCCCACACAAAAAGGTAGGGCAAGGACTTTCTCTCAATCTCTCGTCTGTGAAAAAGACGTAAATACCCTCCTTATCATCGTCATCCGAAATAACCGTAGAAAGCTTATCTAGTCTCGTTGCATGTAACAAGCGCAGCCTAAGGCTGCGTTTGTTACTCTAGCCAAGACGAGTCCAGCTAAGCTTTCTAGGGCTATTTCGGATGACGATGATAAGGAGAGTATTTACGTCTTTTTCACAGACGAGAGATTGAGAGAAAGTACTTGTCCCGCCTTTTTGGGTGCGACAAAAAATTATAATTTTTGTCTCATTGACATCAGTCTCGTCTCAGTTCTGGTACAATCGGATGTACCTGCACACGCTTAGGACTTCTGACTTCAAACTTTGCATTTGTAGTGATTGCAGTTGTGGACCCCAGTCCTGAAAAAAGTACGGAATTCTGGACAGTGAAATTTTCAGAGTCAATGGTTTGTGATATTTCTTCAACCTTCACCAATGGCAACGTTCCCCTTGACAAGAAAGGATACAAACCTATGAAAGATGTATAGCTGCAGTAACACACACACACACATATTAATAAAAATACATATCCCATCAATAATATCCTGTAGAAAAATACAAGTTGGTTGCTATTGTGGAAAAGAATAAAACACATTACCTATGTTGGAAAAATTATCAATTACCTATCTAGTCCTTTTCTTTGTTTGCTAAACATAATAATCAGTTATCAATTCCTATCATCCATGTGAACACCTTTTTAACTAATAATTGTTATTTACCAAACATCAACAAACAATTCCATGTTATATCACATGATAATATCTATTATACTGATGTTGTGGCCAATCAGCTAATGTTATATTGTTACAATGACACATATATGGTTGCATAATTAAAAAGAGTTGGAACATGTTATCATGTATGAAATCATTAAAAATGTCGCAATATATTTTGACATTGATTTTGTGCGATTTTAAGGCCCTACTTGGCAAAAAAAAAAAAAAAAAAAAAAAAACTAGCTTATTGTAATTTAATCGTAAAATCATAAAAGTAGCTTATTTTAGCTTTTGATAAACTTATGGAGCTTTCTAAAAAATATTCCAAAAATGCCATTAATTATATATATTCTTTTTTTTTAGATATATGTTTAAATGTCCATTTATGTCATTTTACATTGCAATCTAACTTATAAGCTACTTTTTACCGGACACTATTAATTCATAAGCTAACTTCCCAGCTAAAAGCTAACATTTCAACTAGCTTTTTACCAAACACTAATATTCCAAATATGTCCTTAATTACTTTTTTCTGACATGAAAATGTAACGAACTTAATATAGTATTCACAACGTTGAAAAGCAAATCTCCAATTGAATTTAACTTAATTTTTATTTTAATATTAACCAAAAAAGGTGTAGCAAAAATGTTTAAGGTGTATGGTTCTCATGATGTTTAAACAATCCAATTTTCAAGTGATTGCTATTCTACATGCCAAAAATTCTAGACTTGTGTGTTCTTTGAGTTCAGGTTTCCCTCTCAAGATGTTAAATACGTGTACGAAAAAGATTGACTCACATGAACAAATTGTGAATGTTCATAGAAATTCTTCCCAATTGATGTAACAGAAACTGCAAGTTCTGTTTGAAAAAAATTTGATCTGCAAATAGATTTTGAAGATTGAAGGACTAAGTACAACGATTTTGACACATCCATTGGCATTTAGCAGTGGAAAATTAAAACCTAAATGGATTATTTGGATTATTTGAATATCAAACATCATAAACCAAGAACTACAAAATGTTGATTCGAGGAAGGATAGGTTAATTCCATGAACACTTAGATTAATCAACTGCGATCATATCGATTTAAGTAAAAACAAGTATATATTACTTACGCTAATATCCATTTGCCGTTGAGAAGAGGAAGAGCCTCCGTCGGCGCCGGAGTCGGATTCTTCGCCTCGAGCTGTGTGATCAACTCCACTACCTCCGCCCTCGTTTCACTTGTGGCAGTCAATCCACGGCTCGTGCCGTAAAACGAACCAACCAACTGCTTCTTCAACAGATCAATCTCCGTCGGCTCCTTGTCTGGCACCGGCTTCTCCTCCTCTTCAAAAAACGAAGAAACGTTAGACTCCGGTTCCCAGTTCTCTCCGGCCGCAGCACGCAAAGTGAAATTGAACTTCTTTCGGACTCCTCCGGCGAATACAAGCTTCGATTTTGCCGAGTTTTTAACGGGAAAGCTCGTAGAATTAACTACAAAGTTGGAGAATCTCGAGCTCAGTTTTGGGTACGACTTCACCAACACCGAATTGGATGGAAATTGAGTGATCAGAGAAACTCCGGCCATTTTTGCCGATTTCTTTTGCAAGGGGAAAAATACAGAGACCGAACGTGAAGCTTAATAACCAGAGGCCTGTAGAAGGCAGGCACCAAACAACGATTTTTATAACCAATTTTATAAATATAGAAACGGTCCCAAAACAATTAAAGAAGTTGTCTCTACTCTCTTTAACAGAAAATTGCAACAAAAATGGTCTTCTATAATAGATTATTTTACAGAAAAGGTCCTTATATAATTTTTTTACAAGAAGTAATCCCTAAATATTTACAAAAATGGCCTCTATGCCAACAAATTGCCACAAAAATGGTCCAGAATTTTACAGAAATTAGTACTATATAATAACAAATTTACAAAATAAAATCCAGACCTGTGTACTAAGCTATTAAATAAAAAATGGGATTAATAAACGTGTCCTGACGTGCGAGCCTTACTAATCGTTTTGGGTATTTTGGAAAAGATTAATCTGTTCATTAATTTTTTTGAACCTAAATTTAAACCGAAGAGACTGCTTAACCGCGTTTTGATTAATCTACTTTTTCGGTACAGTTATCTAGTAAACTTATTTAAAATTTGTGGTATTAAAATAATATTGTTTTACATACACCACTATATCTATGCTAATAAATTAATCATATTATATTAAAAGTTATAGAGTTAACTAATCAGTTAATATGTTTTTTCGATTCGTTTATCAGTTTAACCTATTCAAAACTTATGATATTATGATAATAATGTTTTACATACAATAATATATTCAAATGTAAAAAATACCACTCCTATTTCCTCTTTCTCAAAAACCAATACATATATAGGAAATAAAAGAAATAATTAAGTTTTTATTTACTTCCATTTAACATTTTTATGTCTCATTTACGTATCTTTTTTCATAAAACAAAAAAAACCATCTTTCGTGCAAAGGAGATGTTTTGTACACAAACTATTCTACAATAAAGTATTTTTAGCCATTTTGATCGTTTAGGTTACAACAAAACAAGAAAATTAGTTAAGTCAGCTGGCTTTTCAATTTTATGTTGATCTTTTGATTTTCTTTTTGTTTTGTGTTTTTTGAACTCTTGGTGTTTCGTTTATTCTCGTTAGTTATTTGCTAACGCTTTCTAATAAAATTTGTTGTTCGAAAAAAAAACGAGCTTATTGTGCTTTCTCCCATTAAAAATTTAATGATTTATTACAATGTTGTATATTCGAATCACATGTGATGTGCGGTGAATAGTCTTATTAAATAAACCTAATTTAAACTACAAATCGAGTTTTAAATTTATAAATCCTAATAGACTTAACTGACTACTAGTGTCACATCATGTATCTAATTAGGAATAATATTAGTTGAGATAAGTAAAAATGTCGAACTCATTGTGAATCGAGGTGTACTAAATAAAATAAACTTAAGTAAAGCAAAGTAATTTTGATATAAAGTAAAATACTATTAATTAGAGATACATTTGATTAGATTGTCGAATCACTATAAAAATATGGTTAATTCATATGAAGTGCAATGGAAATTTGATAGATGTTCACTGATTTCTAAATTAATTAACTCTCAAGACTAATATCATTACTCCTAGGATTATAAGCTATCTACCAGTAAGGATAGCTTTCCTGGACTCAGTCTATTCATTCTTATTATGTAACAACTCAATCGGTATGATCAGTCCCAAGGTTAGTGGCAATTTCTCAAATTGTCCAAGTTATTGGATCAATCACAAATATTAACTTAACTTTATTATGTTTAACCTAGGTATGCCTCCACTAGTCAAGTTATGATCTCCTAGTTGTTAACTAAACAGTTGATTCAAGATACAATCTGAACCTAATCATAAATCATGCTTTCAGTTAGATAAACATAATGAAATCAATATGAACATGTATGGATCTTTAATCGAGCAATAACATAATAAATTTAACAAATATCAAAATCCTTTCAATAAACTAAACCATAAACATAGATCATCTACATCTAATCAAAAGTACAGGGACTTAGCCCATAATCCAAACTAAATAACTAATAAGAACTAGAAAATAAGACATAATGCAAACCAAACACTTATGGATCTTCTCTTCTTGCCTATATATCTCCGATTTTTCTTTATATATATATATATATATATATATATATATATATATATATTTTGGACGAAAATAAGGTTCTATCTATAGGATTTGAGAACCGACTTATTTTGTGGCGCTATATAATCTTCGCGACGCATTTGCCAATATCAACAATTATCTTTGAAATTTTATATTGTTATGGAATTATCCTTCCTTCATTCTTCATAAATTTTTCTTAGTCTTCAAGCTATGAAAATTGTTCCAAAATATTCCTTTAAAGCTTTTATTTAAACATATTGCTCTTTTAATCCTACAAAATATAAATATATAACAATTAAGTACTAAATCTTTATAAAAGTGTGTAGAAAAGTATAAAATATATCTATTAAAATATGTATAATTTACAACTTATCAAAATACCTCAAACTTGGCTTTTGCTAGTCCTCGAGCAAATAACTATTAATTAATCAACATTTACTTAAGATAACCATTAGTTTAAATCTTCCAGATTTATTCAGTTTCAATGCGCATATCTGTGTCTAATCCTAATTACTTTACCACTTTAAACACTCACAATCTATACAAATGCTTACTACTTAGTATGAACAATATGCACTTTTACATCCCTTTGAATATATCCTTATTAAAGAATTCCAACCTCAATGTATATATAGTTGGGTTTTGAGCATTCTAACACTCGTATGGTGTACATGCAACCCTAGAAACCTTGGGTCTATGTTTTTTCTGTTATACATGCAAATATTGATTTTTCCAAGGTTTCATCCTATCTAGCATATCATGAGGTATATGTAATATAAAACTAGTAGAATTACATACCTTTTTCTTGTTGCTTGATTCCTTAAGAACTTGTGAGCCTAGCACCCAAGTGTGATGCCTCAAATGTTTCACACAACACCAAAACTCTTGGAATAACTTGAGAATAGAAAACTTGTATCACAAATTCGGCTAGCCCTCTCTCTTTTAGTCTAAGTGCCAATTTTGCTCCATATGAGGCTCCTTATATAGTTTCATGCAATTAGGGTTACACCATGCAAACCCTAATGTGCATGACCTTTCACTTACTCCATGATCCATGGGTTTTAACCTCCATGGAGCATCCATGAAGCACCCTATGGGTTTTAGCCCAATCTTATGAACCATGGATCATAAGCCCATTATATAAGAATGAATGATTTACACAATCAATCCTCATACATTTAATTAATCTCTTTTTTATCACAAAATTAATTCCAAATTAATTCTTGATCAATACTAATTAAATAATATGATTTCATATTAATATATTAGAACTTATAATATATTAATAAATCATAAGTGTCCTTTTTTCTCATTTTCTCTATCCAATTGTTGTGATGCCATGCAACCCAAATGGACCATGCCAAGTCGGGTCAAGTACATACCAAATATAGTTATGGACTTAGACACTTTATCCAACAGTCTCCCACTTGGATAAGTCTAATAACTATAGTTACATGTATGACTTCAGGATCCGACCAGCAATCGTAGCTCTTTCAAAGTCTCGCGGAACTAGGATGATGCGCCATTTAAGATAAGTGATCATACAATCCTTTGTTCTCAAGATATCAGCTGGACAAATACATGGAACACCGTCGTACTTATTGTCTAGCAGTTTGTTTCCCGATTTCCGATTTGTTTGACATAGAACTTAATCGAACACATTAATTTAGTTCTAACCGGGCCCGACACATAAGTAAAAACAAAATCATCGAGGGGCCCTAGATATCGCTTCTAATCCTCCAAGGACTAGAAGGAACAGATAAGCTCCGACTCATATGTTTGTAGTAACTATTCATCAAATTGTACACAACAGCACGTTTTATAGCATCAAGTTACTGATGCGTTTTCGTACTATCAATGTACAACCAACTCACAGTTCAACAACTCATATCTCTTGGCTTGAAGACTCATATGATATTACCGTCTCACGATCACTCGAGATGAATTCCATGAAGTGATACAAATGAGCGTGGGTTGAATCCAATACTCAGACCTTATGAGCACTCATGAATGTTGTAGCAACCATTGCTATGTCTAATACAATTTAGACAAATCTACAAACCCAATTCATGACAGTCTTATTTCAATACCTACTTCCAAAGTATGATCGACTGTGGATAGTTTGAATAATAAAATTATTCTGGAAGTCAAAACATGCAAAATGAAACAATAGTAAATGATTGGCACAAGACAGTACCATACTAGTAAATAAAAACACCTTTTATTTAAACATCAAATGTCAATTACATTTCAACTATTACAAGTTTCGAAAGCTATCTAACTACTAAAACTAATATCATCCTTCAGCCCGATGCGCCTCGCATGCTGTATATGCTTAACCCTACTCAGTCCCTTCGTGAGGGGATCTGTTGGGTTCTCATCTGATGATACCCTCTTTGCCACGAGGAGTCCTTCTTCTATACGATGTCTAATGAAATGGTATTTTCTGTCGATGTGCCTAGATCTGTCGTGATCCCTTGGTTCCTTGGCTAAGGCAACTGCACTCTCGCTATCACAGAAAATCTCCATGAGCTCCTTTATAGTTGGTACAACTCCAAGGTCTCCAATGAAGTTCTTCAGCCATATCGCCTCCTTTTCCGCCTCGCTTGCTGCTATGTACTCTGATTCGCAAGTAGAATCAGCTACTGTCTCCTGCTTGGAACTTTTCCAAGTAATTGCTCCTCCATTCATGGTAAAGACCCAGCCCGACTGAGAGCGGAAATTATCCCTATCAGTCTGAAAGTTGGCATCGCTATACCCCACCACTCTCAAGTCATCACTCCCACCGAGTGTAAGGACCCAGTCCTTAGTCCTCCGCAGGTACTTGAGAATGTTCTTCACTGCAGTCCAGTGAGCCTTGCCAGGGTTCCCTTGATATCTGCTGACCATGCTCAAAGCAAAGGCCACATCAGGGCGAGTACAAGTCATAGCATACATGATCGAGCCCACAGCGGAAGCATATGGTACATGACTCATCTCAGCTATCTCAGCCTCTGTACTC